TAAATTGTATGGATTATACAATCTCAAAAGAGTTCCCTTTCCTCTGCAGGTACCAAATCACTACTTCCCAGTGCAGAGTTGAGGCTGAGCCAGGAAGGAAAGGGGTGGGCTTTACTTGCTCCAGAAAAGCCTCCCCTTCCACCCAGTGTGGCACAGGTACCCAGGAAGCTGAGACCAGGCTTTCTTCTCTTGGGCCCAAGGAGTCAGCCTTCCTGGACCCTTGGTTGGCCTGGTCTGCCCTGCCAGGACACACACTGTGACTGGGTGGAGTTAAAGGGGTGACCTCTGGAGAGGGCTGACCAGGGCCATTCTTAGATGGGTCCACTCTGGCGTAGGGGAGAGCCCCCAGCCACCTGGGAGCCCGTGACAAGAGTTGGCCAGGGACATCTCACACCGGCTCTCTGCTTCTGACATGGAGCAGGACATCTGTGGCCAAGACAAATCTTGGGACAAACTTTGCAACATCTCTGCTCTAGATTGGGGGTCGTGGGTAGGTCCTGACCTGGGAAGGTGCGAGGCCAGCGGAGGCCACAGAGGACAAGCTTGTTACAAAGATATGCGGGGGAGTGTGAGGCCAGGCTGGGGGTGCCCCTCCCTAGAATATTGGGTACAATGGAGGGATCAAGTTGGAAAGACAGTGACTCCCACACAGCTGGAGGGCAAAGCCAGTCCTGGGTTGGGACATCAGAGGCCAAGACCTCAAATGGACTCATGCACCCTTTTAGCAAATGTTCAGAGTCCCTCGGATATCCCCAGCTCTGCTTCTGAGGTCCCAGCTGAGCTGGGAGCTGGAGGTTTCTCCGTGGAGCCCTCCCGCTCAGGTAGATCAAGCCATTCGTCCTGTCCCTTCGTCTCCACTGTCTGCCTCACCTCTATCCCCTCGCCTCCCAGAGGCTCTGCAACCTTCTTCCCCCATGGAACAGCCCCCACACTCACCCACGTGTGCGCTCACACTGGCACACACGTTCCTCCCTCACACTTACGTCACTTGCCACACCTGACACCTAGGCAGGTGCCCCCTCATTTCCAGTACTGCCTTACCTTGCCCGCCGCAGCCTCGCACCCAGGGCCCTGTGGTAGCCTCTTCCGTTCTCTCAGCCGGATCCACTCGCCATACTCAGGTCTAGTGAGGTCAGACTCCCAGGGCTCTCCTGACCCATCACTAAGGATGGGCACTTTCTCCTGAGGGACACTGAAGTTGTGTGTTTTCCTCCCTCTGCTGAAGCTCGGGCCCTGCTAGCGTGTTCTCTCACTCCAGCCTGTCTGCTCAGTAGGGTGTGGTGGGCTGTGAAGACACACAAAAATTGGGTTCTGATGCTTTCTAGTTTCTTAAAACTTTTTAAAGCCTCAGGTCAGCCAGTGGCATGGTGAAAGTAGCTGGATCCCTCACAGCTCACTACATGGTTCGAGTCCCATACCCGGCAGCTTGAAAATCATACCAGGTATGTGTGTTGTGTGTGTGCCCAAAGTCCTGAGAGGAGAATGGAAGAGAAGGGATTACAGCCTGGCCATTCCCACTGGAAGGTGGCTTCTCACTTTTCCCACCCCCGTTTCTCTGTCTCCCTGAGTGCACACACCCTATAACTAAGTTAAATTAATAAATAAAACCTTCTTCATGGCTCTCTGTCCTTATCCTCCACGCGTGGGCTCCAGGGGCAAGCTCTGTGGAGTGCTTGGTGCTTACGCCATGCTCAGCACGCCATAAACATACGGCAGGTAGAGCTGCTCTAACAATGACAGGGCAGCGATGGTGTCGTTTTGTTTGTTTTAAGGTTTTTGCTATAGGGCAGGCAAGAGACAGACAGAGACAGAAGGAAAGTGAGAAATCCTCCGCCCCCCCCTCCTCCCGAGGGGATGGCCACACCACAATCCTTCTCCATTCTCCTGGGATTTGGGGCAGACACACATGCCTGGTGTGATTTTCAAGACGCCAGGTCTAGGACTTGAACCACAGTTGGCCGTGTGGGAGTCCAGCACCTAAACGCCCTGCCACCTATTGGTTCATTAATGGCATTGTTATTATTGTTCCTATATCATCCTTCAGAGTCCCAAAGCAGCCTTTCTTCCCAGTAGCTCTTTTTTTTTTTTTTAAGAGAGCTTTTTTTCTATAGGGCGCATGCACTCACCAGGGAGACAGAGAGACCAAGCCAGAAATCTACCCCCCAACCCCACCCCCCGTGGGGGATGGCCACACTGCACACTACAATCCATTTTCCTCTATTCTCCTCTCAGGATTTTGGGCACTCACACACACGTGCCCAGTGTGTTTTAAGCCTCCAGGTCTAGGACTCGGACCATGGTCAACTACATGGGAATCCAACAACAAAACTGCTACGCCATCTGCTGGTCCCCCAATAGTTCTTCTTAATTCCCAGTGTCAGCCGTGTTTTTCTGGTCCCTGAACTTCTGAGTGTTCTGTTGACGCTTCCCATAGGGTACTTGGCCTGGGGATAAAATGCCTGCATTTTAGCT